GGAACGGTACAAAAATTTTAAAAATCGATTGAAACCCTATTTTTCGAAATGGAACTATTTCGATTCAGTTCGGGATAGAGAAATTCGATTTTTTTGTCCACCCCTGTTTTTCACACTTTATTCTCATGTCTGCCGCTCTTTTTTCTATTTTATTTTCATTTTTTTTATTAAAGAAAACAAGAAAAAATGAAAAGAAAAAAAAGAACGATTATTTCTTCTTAAATCCCCAATTCACAATTCATCTTTCTTGTCAGTCCCTAATGAATTTGATTTTCCTTTGCACTCCCTAATACATATTTCTCTTTCCTCTCAACTCCCCATATCTATATATATCTAAAAAGGTTGATGTAAAAATCATTTTTAGAAACTTAAAATAAATTGAGTTGACTTTTGACTTTCTATTTATGTAATCTCAATCAAATTTTGAAAAAAAAATCATGAATAAGATTTTGTAATTGGTATTCGTTAATTAAGTATCAGATCCCATTAATTAAGCAAATCTGTTACGAAAATACACAAATTCCGTCAATTAAGGCATTATATATTTCCCTTTTTTTAGGGATGGATATACCTTTAACGTGATAAGATATATATATGTGATTGCATATTTTGTTGTTGCATCCCAAAAATCATGGAATTTAATATCTATCCAAATACAATCCATAATTATCTTATCACTTTTGTTAATAAAAAATTGTATAAAAGGATATTCACTACCACCATTACAACTCATCATTCACGAGTTCAGAGAAAAAAAAAATACAGAGAATAATTTTTCATGGCATATACAATATAATGCTTCCAGGCTGGGGTACACTTGATATATAATGCTTCCCGATTGGGGTACGTTAACAAAAGAAACAAACCTTTTTTTGCGTCTGAAAGCAGTCCGCATTATTGAAACCCATCACGAACGGGGGAGCTATAACGCATTTTCATGATGAACAGGTAATATTTACCTTTGTTATTTCAATTTTATATAATTTAGAAAATTATTTTAATTAATATTTATTACAAACCTTTTTTGATGAACAGGTAATATTTACCTTTATTATTTCAATTTTATATAATTTAAAAAATTATTTTAATTAATATTTATAACAAACCTTTTTTGCGTCTGAGAGCAGTCCGCATTATTGAAACCCATCACGAGCAGGCTGGGGTACACTTGATATATAATGCTTCCAGACTGGGGTACGTTAACAAAAGAAACAAACCTGTTTTTTGGGTCCGCATTATTGAAACCCATCACGAACGGGAGAGCTATAACGCATTTTCAGGATGAACAGGTAATATTTACCTTTGTTATTTCAATTTTATATAATTTAGAAAATTATTTTAATTAATATTTATAACAAACCTTTTTTGCGTCTGAGAGAAACTCATCCCGAACGGGAGAGCTGTAATGCATTTTCATGATGAACAGGTAATATTTACCTTTGTTATTTCAATTTTATATAATTTAGAAAATTATTTTAATTAATATTTATAACAAACCTTTTTTGCGTAGTCCGCATTATTGAAACTCATTGAAACCCATCACGAACGGAGATGTAACGCATTTTCACGATGAACAGGTAATATTTACCTTTGTTATTTCAATTTTATATAATTTAGAAAACTATTTTAATTAATATTTATAAATTTGTATCGTAGGATGCTTTCATTAAATGCATAATACGTTATCCGAATATGAGAGCAACAAATTTTATATAAACTGAAAGCAGTCTAATTTTTGTAAAATATGTAAACTTTAAACGTGTTTTATATATAAAATTTTATATACTTTTAAACATGTTAGTTGGGCAAATTTTAAGGATATCTATTATTATATAAAGAGGTAATCCAATAAATCCTAAAATAGTAGCTAAAAAATGATTAGAATTCCCGCCTAAAAATTTACTAAACATAGTAACTTTTTTAAAAAAATTTAGAAATCCCGCCCAAACATAATTTGAAATTTTCAATCAAAAGTTTAAATTCAAACGTTTAAATAAAAGATTGCTTGCAGATTTTTTTTAAATATATTTAATCTTTATCTTATGTTTCAAATAATCTCTTCATTGTAGTTCAAGTTTAATGTACATTAAATATTTATTACTATTATTATTATTATTATTATTATTATATAAAGGTTTGATTATTTTTTAAATAGTAAATATTTTCCACCAAAAAAAAAATCTATTTAATATTTTGAATAATTAATTTAACAATTTATAGTATATTTCAAATAATCACTTATAAAAATTGCGTCTCATTTTACTTCGGATGATTTACCCAAATATGTCAATTTCGAATGCAATATTAATTATGTGATTTGCTAAAAAAGTCCAACTAAATTGTGTAACTTATTATTTAATAAGTGTTTTATATTTTTCGTGTAATTCTTTTATGGAATGTATTATTTTTTCTGTTATCATATGAAATGTATTTTTAATATTGAATAATTACGCAAATTGTGTAAATCCAACTGGTTTATTCATTTTGCAAATAATTACTATAATTATGGAAATATTGACAACAATAATCAATTATGCGATTTGAAAAAAAAGTTGTTAATTTACTTAATAAATGTTATTCATTTTTTGTGTATTTAATTATTCAACTTGTGGATAATTAATCAAATAATATAAAATTTACATTTTTAAGATATCCTAATTACACAGGTCATATAGATTTTGTTGATTTTTTCAGTTATAAATTTTTATAAAATTGTTCCAAGATAATTGTGTTAATTGCAATTTTCTTTCAATTATTTTTTAATAACTATATTTTGGGTCTTTTTTATTTTTATCTATGAAAAAATGTGGGTCTCTATTTTGTTTTCTACGTTGGGCAATTAAATTGTGGTAAAAGTAATTATCATTTTTTGTATTTTATTGATAAAGTATAAAATATAATTATTTAGTATACTATATATTGATCCAATATACCGGCTTATGGTAAGAAATAGTATCTCAATATTTTTTTTCTATATTGCTAAGCATTTTACTCGATATTAATGAAAGAAAAATCTGGAGAAGGTCGATACTTCTTTATAAATATATATACCAAATTATTTGGTATATATATGTATTAAATCGACCAATTTAATTAAATTACACAATACTATTCACACAACTTAACAACCACAACGAAAAAAATAAATTGAGATACCCAATCATACCATAACAATCAGTCCATCTCATACAGTAATTGATCAACAAGTAATATACTAATAGGATTTAGTAACATCCCAACTGATCAACAGTAGAATATTTCTAAATTGAATTTCATCCAATCAAAAAAATTATACCGCATTTAAATTAAATGAGAATTTGATTAACAATTAACTAAAAATATAATTGTCAAACAAAGTAAAATTTAATGTATTAAATAAAGTAAACGTTTTACATTACAGAAATCGTGTACTAAAGAATTTGTACAATTTTTAAATTGATTTATTGCAATTTCTTTATACTTTTCATATAAAAAATATTTATGGAATTTAACTAAATTATACTTTGTTTTTCCTTTATAAATTCAGTCATTTTTCGATCATTTGTTATTATGCTTCATTTGATTTCATTTTTAATATTCTAAGTATTGATTTTATCTTTTATTTAATTCAAGATGAAGTGCGAATTTGGTTTGATCAACAAAGTCACTAGAACTAAGAAACTACATATCAAGTTGTGAACAATTGAAAATAAATTTGATGTTGAATACAAAAACTACTTGGAAATTTTCTTTCATGATGAGGAGATAAGAATAAATAACTTATTTTGAATTCATTTTTCCATTGTTTTTTTTACTTCATTATTTTTTTAACTAAACATGTTTTATGTAAATTTGCACAATTTAAATTTTATAGGTAAAATGCATTACATGTATATTTCATATTTTAACTTTATAAATATTATATAATGAGCATATTTAATTTATAAATATTAATTAATATTTCTTACCCGTGCACCGCACGGGATTCATACTAGTATATATGTGTGTGCTAACTTTAAGTATATATATTTTTCTTATAAAATAGTCTAGACAAAATTGAGGTAATTTCATATTTTTCAATAATAATATAAAATATTTTAATACTTTCACATATGTTATATAATAGTCTGCGTATTCTCAATGTCTTTTGGTTGTAACATTGTTAACACATCTAATATTAGATACTTTTAAACATATTTAGATATTTTTTTTACTCATTCTTTAATATCTATGTGCATAAAAAGAGAATAAGATTTATAAAAAATTTTCCGGCAATATACTAAATGTTAGATAAAAATCTCATTTCATTTATTATATAATATTTCGAGTTGCATTAATTTTTATTTGTATGTGTAAAATTGATAAACTAAGCGTATGAAAAGGAGCGTACGAATTACTGTAAGGATTTAAAAAATAAAAAATAAATCTAATTTTTGAATATTTTCTAAACGAATTTATGTCATAATTCGTCATAATTTTCCCACATCATGTCAATATTTATTTTGTCTATACTAGGTAAAAGGTAAATCATTATCTCAATATTTATTCTATATATTCTAAGTAAATCTTCTCATCTATCTCAACGGCCCGCAGGTAGTATTTCATACTTTTCTATTCATAATCAAATATACCAAACCTTTACAAATTTTACTTCACAAAGAAAGTGTTCAATAATTTATATTTTTTTTGCTTCTTTGCAATCCATTTATTTTTATTACATATATATAAATTATATTATTTTTAATATTTCACACGTTAAACATTTCAGGAAAATATATCATCCCGTGCATCGCACGAGCTAGTAAATACTAATACTATTATTATTCATTTAATTTTAATTTACTTCTCTCCCTCATCTACGCTCTCTCTCCAGATCTGGAAAAATAAAAAAAATCGAACCAGAGCTCCTGATCCATCTATGGAGATCCAAAATAACTCATAAAATATCCTCTCCTTCGCNTGACCCTCATAAAAACTCATAAAAAAAAAAGCTGGCGATCCAAAACCCCAAATCTTCAAAATCAATCCCTCACCTCCCCAAAATCCCACCTTTTTCCGCCGATTTTTCCACCTCCTCCGATCACTCTCTGCCGCAACACCCGAAATCCCATAAGAACAAACCATTTTCCGAAACTCAACCTCCGCTCTACCCCAACTTCGGACTTCATGGATTTCGGCCCGACCCGGCTAACAATTTCAGCACCATGGCAGGCCAAATAACTCAGAACGGGCCCCAGATGCCGTCGAGGCAGTGAAAAATCATGGAAAGAACAGATCTTGAAGAGGAGGATCCTGAAAAGGCTCTTTCATTTGCCAAAGAGCACTTAGATTCGGGTAATATGTTGTCTCTTCCGATTGCTATGACTCTGCAGTTGTTGGGTTCATCCAGCTTTGATCTCAAAATGTTCAACAACAGTTTGGGCTATTTGATTAGGGCCAATAGGGTGTTGGCTAAGCGTGAGGCATAAAGTTCTGCTTACAGCGACGGAGGGGAGGTTCATGGACCGGGCCATGGACTCCGCGACCGAGGCCTCTATTGCGAATTGGGCCCGGCTCATCCAGTCCATATTCTCACTTTTTGATTATTCAATATTTTGTAAACCTGGGGCCGAGTGTTAGTGATTTACATTATCTCTGCTGCTCCAAGGAATTGCGAATTCCTACAGGTTATCTGCAGGCTCAAAACCCCTTCTCGCTGCATACGCTGTTGCGCGTTTTATAATTTCTTGGGGTTTGTTCAAAATAGATTATTCTCTAGTTCGTTTCCTATAGATGAATGCTTCGGTTCGTTTATTGTGTTGACCTCTTTTTCTCAAAACCAGAGGGCGTTTGAGATTTAGTTCTAATTTGTGTAATCGATGTTGCAAATTGTTATTATTATTATCTTACTCCATCTTAAGCAATTCTGGAAGTAACATTCTAAATTTATTTATTTGATTCTTCCTTCCTTTATTCTCTCCCTTTCTTTCATTTTCCTTTTTTCTATTTTTTTTTTAGTATAGTTTGTGTTAGGAAGCTCGAACCTTTGAACCTCAAATTATATTGGAAAAATAATGAGCATTTTTATTTGAAATTGATGACTGTTGTGCTGCATGTTAATTTGTGTGGTATTTCTTGTGCAAGCTATCTAAATAACTTCAATCACACGAGTAAAATTAACTTCATATAAAGATTAAGGTGATTGGACTACTTAGGACCGGTGGGGGGTTCTGCCTAGGGCCGCAAACGAGTCGAGCATTGGCCGGTTTGATTTATTTTTTTTTCTAGCTGCTCGAGCTCGAGCTCGATTTATGAGGCTCAAGCTCGACTCGATAAGAAAATACAATAGCTCAAGCTCGACTCGAGCTAGACTCAAAATCAAATGCTCGAGCTCGGCTCGAAAACTTTTAAGTGCAATTACCATTAAGCACTTGTGTTATACTATTTAAATATATAAGGGGTATTTTAGTAATTTAATATATATCGAACCGTTCGACGAGCCGCTCGACAATGCAAAATATGGGTTCGAGCTCGACTCGAGTTCATGCTCGAGCCGCTCGAGACTCGAGCGCTCGCGAGCGGCTAACGAGTCGTTTGCAGCCCTAGTTCTGCCTACCTAAGGACAAGAAGTTGAAGACTTGTAAACAGAATGGAAATATAATCTTATTTAAAAACTATGAATATTAGTACCAGTCCTAGAATTAGACAATATTCATTAAATGGTGATTTAGTACCCAATATCAGGTTTTCAGTACTGATATGGGATATTATATGACTAAGAAATAGACCGGCCTACCACATAGGTTGGGCAAGCTCGAAGTAGAGAAAACTGCAATGGTCGAAGGATGATCGACCAAAAGAGAGGAGGTCGAGCAGAATAGCAGAACTGGTAGAGGATCGACCTAGTGTTGGGGGTCTCGACCAGATCGAGCACACAGCAGGTGGAGAGCAGTCGAGAGCGTGACTTGAACGCGAGAAGGCGCGTGGGTGGCGTTAGAAGATCCAAACGGCCTGCGCAGAAGAATAATCTCCCTCAGCTCAGAGGGACACGTGGCGAGAATACAATGGTGCAGAGCGATAGTGGCGATAGCCACCCCTGACATCTCTGACACACGCACACTATGTGTGTACGGACGGGCAGTACGGGTAGGACAGCTCACCAAAAGCCGGGGAGTACGGGTAGGACAGCTCACACTATTTGATGAACTCGATGTGTCGTTTTGTTGGACAGTTAATTACCCTTTGCGAGGTTTGAGCCTTATGTTGTTTCTTGAGAGATATTGGTTGGAATCCAATGTTGATTAGAACTTGTTTTGAGTCTATTTTGAAATGAAACGATTGAAGTTGTGATTTGTGAAAATGATTGAGGCATTTCTTTGACATAGCTCGTTTTAGCCCTTTTCATTGACCCTTGAACTTATATTTTCACTAGTAGCCCGTTGAGCCTTGAACCGTATTTCTTGTCAACCGATTCGATTGAATTATTTGAGATTTGACAGTGTACTTGATATGATGACGGAGCTTTCTAATATGTGTTGATGAGGTATAGAACTTGTTTGGGTTGCATTTTGAGTGTTAACAGTCGAGTACTTAATTTGCATTTCATCTTGAGCGTTATGTGTGTTGCATGGAGTTTTGATGGGAATGATTGGTTTCGTGTTGATTTTTGATAGGTGGTGGAGCATTCGAGTAGTTTATATGCTCGAGAATTTGATTGTTTATTTGAGCCGCTTATTCTTCATTTTGGTCTTTCCCTTGTGCAAACTGCCTTTTTTGCAACCCTAGAAGTCCTCTTGATTTGCACTTCATGATTTTTGATTGTTTTAGAGTATGAATAGACGATAAGCAAGCTTATGTTGATGCATGATGATCGACCAACTTGAGCGTATCCACTTCATATTTATGAAAGAAACTGAGTGAGGCATATATGTTTGATATTGTCATTCTTGAGCGTCTGTGTTCTCAAAATGTTGCATTCGAGTATAGTTGAGATATGCGTGATTGGTCATTGGAAGTTTCTCGGCTAAGTTGATTAATTTGAGGCTGGTCTTATTTGAAACCGTTATCCATGCTCGTTTGCTTGTTTTTGTGTCTTTTCTTTTCTTTTTGTTCGGGACGAACAAAGGTTTTAGTGTGGGGGAGTTTTTTGTCCCATCTTTTTTGCGTTTTTCGTTGTCTTTTAGTCTTTATTTTTCCCCCATTTTAGGTGTTTTAATTGGTTTTTAGGTCGTATTATAGTTTATTTATTATTTGCTCTCTTCTTGGTCTTTTTTGTATTTTTTCGTTCGTTTTCGGTTTTTTTCGTCGTCGTTAGTGTGTAGGTTGGAAGTCTCGAGAGAATAGGATTTCGGAAAGATACTAGTTGGGCAAGCCTAATCAAATAGAGGAGTTCATTGGTAACACACAGGAAAAAACGGAATCGAATTCCGAGTCCAAACGAGTATAATAGAGCCCGAAAAGTGAAGAGGTGAACAAAAAAAACCAATCAGGCGCCCAGTTTTAGTCGCCGCGGCCACAGAGGAGAAGTCGCGTCCGCGAGAGTCTGAAAATTCTCAAAGGATTCCACTTCTGGCCATATGAGCTCGCGGCCTCGGGGATGGTCGCGGCCGCGAGTTGGTCGCGGCTGCAGAGGTCGCGAAGTGCAGAAAAATAAGTTCCGATTTTAGATCTGATTTTCATTATGTTGTTGGCTAGGTTTTGATATTCTCTCGTACTTTTTCACTCCAGAACTCATATTTCACTTGGTTTTGCTTAGAGATCAATCTTGGATAGTGAAAACTCCAAGATTATACTTTGGATTTGGAATGTTCGTTGATTTTCGACATTGGATTCACTATTAATCGTAAGCTTTCTTTTTTTCGTTTTATCTATGTTTATGATGGCTTGGATTGATGTGTATGTTGATGTTGAATCGATTATGATTGGCTAAATCCATATGCTAAGGATAGGGGATTGATGTTTTGATATCGTTTGTGATTGTCGGGCTCAAGATTGTTCAATTCCATACGAGTTGATCTTTTTCTAGGGTCTTTCAATTGTCGGGCTCGAGTATTTAGAATTGTTGAAGGGTGACACTTCAATCACCAATTGTTTGCAATTGGGTTCGATTTATTCTTGCTTGATGTTGATTATTCTATACGGACTAGTTGATTAAACACTTTCTAGTCTACTTTAATCGACTCTTAGAACCGAAAGGGGAGGAGTCGGTCGAAATAGGCTCGTATGAACTAGGCTTGTTCGTAACTCTATTGCCTAGAAGTTAAATGAATTGTTAATTTTCCGTTCTAGTTTGTTCTCTTGTTACGAAAAGTTATTGAGAATAAGTGCTTGAACGTGTCGATTAGTCAAATCACTTAACCGAACAATCTCTTGCTTGACAATTACATTTTCGAACCAAAACGGATATCCCCGACTCCCTAGCTCCTTAAATCCTACTTGTTGTTCGTCGTTGCTTGCTATTTCTATTTGCTTTATTTGAAGTTTTTTTTGTCTTCGTAGTTAATAATCAAACCAAATCATCAGAATTAGAATGTTTAGGAATTTTTATTTTCTTTTTTGTGGTTGAATAAACGTGCATAATAATCCGGCTAACCTTCCTCGAGAGACACGACCCGGTGTTCGAATCTTTTGATTCTACTCCGGAAAATTAAATTACAACAAAATGGCGCCGTTGCCGGGGAAGGTTTAGGACATATTTTGTGCGCTTATTCATCTTATTTTTCGTGTTACTCTTTGGTTTTGTGTTTTCCTTATTTTTTGGTGTTTCATTTTCTTGTTTTATTTTCTTTTCTTTACTATTGGTGCTCTAACTTGTTTGTTGCCTGAGTGTATGCGTACCAAGAGTGGACGTAAACTATCTCCAATTAACAAACCCTTCAACGAGAGCCTGAGAGAGCTGCTGGACGAGCTTACTCTCGAGCCACAAGAAGAAGGCGAGCATTCACCAGAATCATCTGAGGGGAGTAACTCAGACATGGCTGCACAACAACCACCTCGAAACATCCTCAGAGACTTGGCCCAACCCATAATCGGGCCAATCACTTCATGCATCCGGTTGCCACAAGAAGCCCGAAACTATGAGCTGAAGATGATCCACTACAACCAGTTACCATCTTTCCATGGTCTTCCAAATGAGGATCAACTCCACTTCCTCCGGGAGTTTTACAATGTCCTCCAGACGTTCCCTCTTCAAGGACTGACCGAGGACCAGCTAAAGATGCGATGCTTCCCAGAGACTCTGAAGGACCGGGCCAAGGCCTGGCTCATGACCCTCACACCGGATTCTCTCACGACTTGGGCCGAAGTCTACTCGAAATTTGTCGGGAAATATTATTCCCATCAGAAGACCCAAGACATCCGGTCCCAGATAGTCTCTTTTGCTTAACTTCCAAACGAGCCTCTTCATGAGGCCTGGGAGCGATTCAAGGACCTCCAACAGCAGTGCCCACATCACAACCTCGCTCCAGGGCTCTTAGCGAATTGTTTCTACGACTCCCTCCACCAGAACCTGCACTTTATGGTGGATAACGCAGCCGGAGGGGATATTGGGCCCAAAACAGCTGAAGAGATGATTGAGATCTACGAGACGATGAGTGTCAATTCGTCTCAGGAAAGTATCAGAGGGAAGAGGTCCTCAGTGAATGAGGTCGGATCGGGAAACAACGTCATGGCCCTGCAGTTAGCCGAGCTCACGGAGCAGATGCGGCTACTAAACGCAAGAGGAGCTTCACCGGTTCAGACTATGGCTGTGAATGTGTGCGGAGCCTGTGGAATCCAGGGGCACAACTCTGATGTGTGCCCGTCGGCTATCGAGCCGAATTACGGAGGGCAGAATGTTGAGGTTAACGCATTGCAGGGGTATCAGAACCGGCCAGGAAACGACCCCTACTCGAACACGTACAACCCCGGGTGGAGAAACCACCCAAGCTTCTCCTGGTCTAACAACAATTTCCAGCAACCGCCTCAACCTAACTTTGTCCCCCATCAGCAGCAACACAGGGGAGAAATGTTAAGGTTGTCAGCACCAGAAGCCG